ATTCCTATAAGGCTGATGTAGAATTCGTCCAATCCTTGCATTGCATAGCCTTGCTTGCCACAAAAGGGAAGAGTTTGAGAGGTGTGTGTAACTATCTGGGTCAGAATATCCCTGGGAGGTTAAAAATATAATATCCAGGTTGGTACTTCGCTTTCTAGCATTCAGCCTTCTCATAGGCGTAGCATATATAATTAACTTTTTTTTTTTTTTTACAAAAATAGATGGGGTTGGCCCTTTTTGGGTGCTAGAAAATCTCTTCAAGCCATGGGTTACCTCCAGGCATCACATTGGAGGCAAAGGCCTTTACTGATTGTTTTGACCCAAGCAACTGGGGCTTGGAGAATATCATAGTTCAAACAAGCCATAGCTCATTCTGTTGCATAAGACAAGCTGCTACTCAGTCTTTAGAATCACATTTCTCTGCCACCTTTCTTCTGCAAACCCATAGTGGTGTACAAGGGGTTCTAGACTCATTTGACTATAACAGGCAGCCTGTGAGGTAAGTTGGGGGCAGAGGTGGTCAAGAGGCCCCAAATCACCCAAGAACTTCATAACCAGCTGGAGATTTGCACCATTCCAGTTAACATCTTAACCACTATTCCCCACCTCATGCTATGTTAACTGATTCTTTCCTTGATTTTCTCTCCCTTCAGATTAAAAGTTGCAGCAAAGACCCATTTGAGGGGACATGGCAGCATCCAAAACCTCTTCACCAGATGGTGAAGTATCCTGTCACCAAAACACTGAAAACAGAGAAGTCAGCTACCTTCGCCATCTCTTCAGGACCTGCAGCTTCTGCTTCCAAACTGCTTGAAGGTTTAGTTCAAATGCATCTTCTCATCGCTGGAGGCAATATTGCGAGGAACACGCCACACCCTTTTATATCTCCTTATAAAATTCATTTAAATATTGCAGAAGGCAACATTGCTTGCTTTAACTAAGGGGGCAGTCAACACAATGGGGGGCGGGGGTTGGGTGGAAGATATACCACCCTAAAATATAGAAAAGTAGAAAATGGCATTAAGGTGTCAGAAACAGGAAGTTTGTCTGCAAAGAGTTCTTGGGTATCTGCCAACTCCCTTTCATCTAACTGGCCATTAGCTAACAACAGTATCTCCCCCTCTTCCTCCCTCTCTCTCTCTCTCTATCTTCCTTTTTAGGAAGATATTGTATGGATGTACTGTACAAGGATTTGTTTCTGTGTTTGTGCATGTTGAAATAATATGTTCTAAAAAATAGTTGAAACTGGTAGACCATGTTTCTGACTTGAGATATAGGGGTCTCATTATTCCATGCATTGACATTGCATAAGTGATCCTAAATATATATTTAACATTTGTGGAGTTAGTCTTCCCTACCTCCAAACCCAAAACAGTCATCATTGGTCCTTCATAGTTCCATTAATGTTTTCTTTACAAAATGTTTTTAATAATATATGCAGACGTTTGAAATCTTGTGAAAGAAAGAAAAGAACAAGACCAGAACTTTGATAACACTTTTGGTTTATTGGAGGCCCCATCGCCTCTCAGTGTATTAAGTGTCAATAGCATTAGGGTGAGACAGATGGATCACCAGGGAAGTGGATGACCCAACCAATCCAGAAAGGTCCCGTTGTCCTCCTCAGAAAGCGTGGATAGCACAGTCACGATACCTCGGGCACTCTCTTCCACAGTGATTTCCGGCTGCCACAAAGAAGGATCTCATAAGGTTTAAAGAATCAGTCCTGCCCAGCCCAGAATCCTCACTTAGGCAGATCAGCAGAATGCAATTAGACATCTTGACATAAATTTTCAACCCTAATAAAGATAGATTTGTATTAAGCTGGCCAATCTCATTTTAGCTTACAAATGTATATGAGCACAGCCCTTATGATCAGGTGATGATCCAAAGAGTCATGTAAATCTTTAAATTTGGGTTAATTGAACAAATTAAATGAACCATGGGTGAGCATGCCTTGCAAGTGCAGGTACTGAGTTAATAAAGTTGCTTCTAATATTTGTAAAGTGGAACTTCTATTAATTGTTTTAATATGTGAATCTTCCCCCCCCCCTTCCCCCCTTAAGATTTCCAAAATAAATGTGTCAACCTTGCCTTGAGTCTCAAATATGAGGACTTCCAGTGGAGGAACGATGACGGAAGGTTAATTTCAGCTGAAGGCCTGCTGAAGCTGAAATTTTAAATGCGGTAAACTGGGTGTCTCAGGACTTTTTTCCGAAACACGAAGCATTCTCTGGGCAGGGAGAAGACACCGAATTGCCCCTCCTGTCTTCCGGATGGCGGTAGCTTATTGAACGATCATCAGATGCGACTGAACAGTGAGCGATCAGCTGAGAAGTGGGTGGAACAGTTTGTCGGAGCCGCATCTAAAGCCTCCTTAAAGAGACATTACTTCTGGCCACCCCACTTCTAAAATCACCTTTGTTGTCTGTTATTCAAAGAATTTAAAGAGTATCGCAACTACAGAAATATTTCATGTCTTGGTTGGCTTTTCATTATTTTTTGGGACTTCTAAAGAGTGTTGTACTGGATTTGAAGGATTGAAATACGAGCATGCAATCTAGAAGTCTTAAAGTGCTGTAGGAAGTTTTTTATACTTTAAGGAGACTATTTTTATCTACATCTTACCTTTGCTTTTAAAAAGGAAGATTGTGATGGAAGACTTGAGTGAGGAGGTCCAAGGTCATGGGGAGAGTGAGAAGAATCCCAAGGATCTCCTCAGCCCACAGCCTGAGCGTGTGAAAGCTAAGAGGATGAGACTGGCACCACCCTA